CTGGTAAGAGAAAGATTTCTGAAAGGGATCCTGATAGGAAGAACTTAGTAAGCATCCTCTTGTCCTCCCTGTGAACTTAAAATGACAGAGCGCCACCCGGTCATGTTTTTGGCATCCATGGTGTTTCTGCAGAATCCTCACCCATCCCCTCATTCCACAAAAATGCATGAAGCACCTACTGCCTTCTCAAAACCATGTGCGCCTGTTCCTTCTAACTCTCCCCTTGAGAGGTGGTGCAACCAGGCCTTCCAAGTCGCATTTCATTTGTTACTGATACTCAGCTCTTACCATACCAGGGGCATCTAACTACCATCAGTGATGTTCCTGTTCCTGCTTATCTGTGACGTTCCAGAGGTGATGAATTAACAGGAAATAAGAATGTGGCCCGTTTTCCCTTGATGTTGAATGGAATTCCCTTGATGATCTCTTAGGAATTAATACAGTATTGTGTACTTAAATTCTGCCAAAAGGGTGGGCCTTAGGTGTTCAACACACACAGACACACACACCCCACCACCACACCACCAACAACACTTCCCTAAAGTGGTACATATGTTAATTAGATCAATTCTGGTGACATTTCAGAACGTGTACATTTATCAGAACATCAAGTTGTATTCAGTTTCTGTTTGTCAATTATACCTCAGTGAAGATAGGAATATGATTAATTGATCAAAGGCAATAATTTAATCATGTGCCAATTTAGGCAGAGCTGAAAACTCAAGCTCGAGGGATATGCATGTGCATTAACCCAGCTCTTGTTAATATTCTGCCTCTTTCTTCTTCTGTGCCTTTTCCTATCCTCATGTATGTTTTTACAGCATCTCCTGCACAAAGATCTAAAGGAATCCAACATCTTTACTTAAATGCTAGAAGCCATGTTGCTTCCTCTGGATTCAAGCAAGAGCCAACAAGGGTCAGACCTTGAGTGAGTAGAGGCTCAAAGAAAGGAGCCTGTGAGGCCATGTTGGAGAGCTCTGGTTTCTCTTCCTTTAATAATGATGCCCAATATTCTAAATGTACCCTAGCTTTTTGTAGTCACTCTTTATTCTTTGATCATGTTCACATATTCATCAAAACATCTGTTGAATTGGTCTATACTTTTAGTCTGTTCTACTTTCTGAACCCATAAGTCATCTAGCCTCATTTAACACAGTGTACCACTTTTTCATAATCCTCAACTCATTTTATTTCCTTACCAGTGTTCCAGGAACTGGCTAGTTCATCCAACCCATAATATTACTCAACTTATACCTTTTGAGTAGTCTTTCCCATGCTTTTTTGCCTTCATCCTTTTTGACTCTTAAAGCTGCAAAAATTGTCAAGGCTCCAAGTTAGCTCTGACCTAATCCTTTTCTCTCCTTGAATGACTCCCATATATCTTGGATTCATGACTATCAAAGCCAGAGGAATTGGGGTCAAGAAGATACATTGGCTGGAGCAAGGGGTAGATTGAAGAGAGGGCTGGTGAGCAGTTCTCTATAGTCTCCACTAATGTGACAGGTATCTGGTAGACAGACCTGCTTTCCATACATGGATACAGACATTGGGGATTTTTCTTTTTACCTAAATGGCCACAGATTTGGTAACCCCTACGGGTCAACAAAAATGAGTAAATGGAAGAATCCATGGCTGTATTGAGGAAGGATCTAAATATGTACAACTATAATTTATCAATATATAATTTTTTAAAATGTGTCTCTACCCCTTCACCCTGATGCCAAAGCTAGTGAAAATGTCAGATTTCTTTGATTTAGCTGAAATCTGTGAGTACAATGTTATAATAATATTGATCTCATACTTATCTGATGCTGGCCAAATTATATATATTTGATTAATTATATCAAAATGGAGAGGATTATGACTTGATATACACAATTTGAGAAATAAAATTGTTTAAAATATTGGTCTGTGAGTGAAAATAACAAAACCTAAGACCATAAAATGAAACAGCACCAAAGGTTGATTGTATGCACTGTACATGTGTTTCTCCATCCGGTCACCCTTCAAATGCACTGCCTGGTTAAGGGATAGGCATTTGATGTTGTCTGTGTGACTGGCATTGTTTCTTGAGCCTCAAATCCACAGGGGTCACAACCAGATGGTCTAACATGGGCCTTATGCAGCAGAATAAGGTGTTGAGAATCTGTAAAAGGGTAAAGAGTTTTAAACAGCATGAAGTGCCAGCTAGGGTCTAGTTAATAGGAAACCCAGTTACATGTCAAGAGGCCTATTCACCATACAGGACCATATATAAAGTTCCAGTAACCAGCTTTACAGAACCCAAACTCTGTAGCAGTTTACCATGTACTGGCCAGATTCTTGTCTGTTAAAAGCACTAAGTACCATAAAGGTAAGGTCAGACTCATCCACTGCAGTGCAATTGGGAATTGTCAAAGTCTGTTCACTGTATGCATTCCATCTTTTGATTTTACAAGCAGAGGCTCACTAGCTGTATCACTTGGTGTGATGCTAGCAATGTTTGGTGGATGCTGTGATGTGCCATGCAGGTCCCTATTTTAGGACCAAAGGACTTATTTACCAGCAGATAAGAGTGTTGTAGGCTTCCTCCCTGTGCTTTATACCCCCTTCAGAAATAGCTGTCATCTGAAAAGAGCTGCCTTGCTAAACGTCCCGTTTCCTATGACAGCCCTCATCCCATTCCTAGCCCATGCTGAGGTACAAACACCTAACTTATTAACCCCAATTTGGGGCATCTCTGAAAGGCCATCTCACTTCAGAACCCCTGTTGGGGGTCAGTTCAGGCCTTTGTTGAAGTGGCATCACAGGCTCACTTCTTCCTGGACTGGAAGAGTCACACTTCCTTCTTTTCCCCCTAAAAAGCAACATTCCATTAGAAATTTCTGCATGTGTCCATCTCAAAGTCTGCTTCCCCATGGAACCTGACCTACAATAATATAGCAGTCTTGGGTCAAAATGTGATGTAAATTATACTTATAACAATATAGTTTAAAGGCCAAACATGAAAAGCACTGAAATGAAAAAAGACAAAGTAGAAATGAAAATGAAAAGACAAACTTAAGTGTTGAAAAGTATGTGAACCCTTCATGCACTCCTAAAGGGAGGGGAAAAATAGTACTGTGTTTGGAAAACTCTTTGACATTATTTACTAAAGTGGAATATCTGAGATCATGTCCTGTCACTAGCAATTCCTCTCTCCAGCACATGCCCAAGGAAAATGCAAATGTTCACCAAAAGAAGAATGCACAAGAATGGATGAAGTGGCGTCCAAATGGAAAAGAACTTCAATGTCCTTAACAGTAGAATGGATGCATAAATTGTGTTGTATTCACACAAAGACATACAATTCAACACTGAGAATCAAAACCTACAATTTATACTTTCAATTATGTTTGTGAATGAGTCTCACAAACATAACATTAAGCAAAAGCAGCAAGATGCAAAAGAATATATGCTGTATGAGTCCATTTATATAAATGTTAAGATCAAAATGTTAAGATTATAAATCAAAATTGATTTATGATGCTTGGAGTCAGAATATGGGTTAACTTTTGGGAGGATGAATTGTGACAAGAAGATGTCTAAAGTTGATCATCTGGGTGACTTTCAAGGCTGTTTCTTAATCTTTGTGCTTGTTACAAGCATGAGTATTGTGAACATTCATTGATCTTCTGTACACTGTTTACTTTTCTTTATATATGTTCAGCTTAAATGAAAGTTTACAGACCAGGAAGTAGGAAGGGCAGATATAAACACTGAATACAGGAATGTGTCATCCATGATATAGACTCAAATTCTTAAGACTTGAACAAGATTCCTGCTGCCCTTGGCTGCAGGTTGTTACACATGAGAAGCCTAGAGTCCCAAAGGGCTCCAGCCTGCTCAAAGTTACCAGAAAGGCATGCAGCTGGGTGTCTCTAGATGAAGGTAATAAACTGGCTTCAACGCCCTCTGGGTCCTGCTGGGTGGTTGAGCTGCTCTGAGGTTCAGGTGGCCTTTGTGCCTGTAGTGGACACTTCTCATCCATGCTGCCATCTTGAAGCAATATGCCAAGGGCTTGGGTATCTTTGGAAGGTTGGTCCTGTGTTTGGGACACAGATCCAGGGCTCACTGTATTCTCTTCCTGGATACTGTGTGGTGATTGGTAACCAGGGTCTGTGAAGCAAGATGTGGGTTGCTGGGGTCAAGCTTGGTAGCAGGTGATGTCACCAGCAAATTACATGATATGGTTTTCTCCTGACTACCTTAAGCCTCAGTGGGAGCAATGATACCAATGTCCTTCCTGGAGTATGACCTATACTTTCTCTTCCTGTCCAGTCTGAGGTGCCTCTGAGGAATTACACCCCAGGGACTACAGAATCCCACTGACCTGACTAATTCCTGGAGTAAGGCTATCCCAGAGTAAGGATCCTCTTGTTCTCCCTTGCAGATACACACATAGGACGTGAATCAAACTCTCTCCACCCTGACTGAGCTCCTGTGCTGGCCCCATCGTCTCCCCACTTCTACACAGGGAGCAAACCCATGTGCCCTTTAGAGTCCCCATTCATCTGGGCTCAGCATTGATAACGTAATCATTAGGGCAACCTAAGCAAGGCATGGAATGTGCAGGGAAATGCAGCTTGAAGAGAGAGATCAGGGAGGGGTGTGGGGGTTTGATGTACTTGGCCCAGGGCAACAGAGACATTATCAATTTCTGAGACCTTTTTCCACCCACCATGTACCATCTGCCTAGTCACACTTCTCTAACCATTAACATTGCATAGTGTTGAAGTCTTGTTATTTTCTATTTGCAAATTCAAAGATTAGAAAGAAGAAGTTTTGTGTTGTGAACTAATCTGTTTCTTTCTCCCTTGAGTTTCCCCTGAAATCCTTGGGAGAACATGGGACTACTTTGTGCACTAAGGACTATTATGAAAAGAGCTAAGTTAGAGCTGTTTTATTTGTTTAAAATAGTTATTTTCTAAGCACTTCAATTTTGTTTAATAGGTGATAGAGATGACCTTGAAGATTAAAACTGAAATCTCCATTCTTTAAGTATGTTAGCATGTGTGTGTGCATTTGTGTGTACATATGAGTGTGTGCTTTATATATACATATGTGTGTATATAAACTCATGTGTATGCATGGATATGTGCTTATATGTGTATGCATGGGTATAGCCTTTTGAGTGCATGAGTGAGTGCTTGCTGCATGTCTGTGCATGGCAGTGTGCTTGTGAGTGTGTTTGCATATGTGTGTATGCGTGGATGAGTGCTTGTGGGTCTGCATTAGTGTTGGTTTGCATGTATTTCCTATGCTTACATGAGTGCATACGTGAGCGTGTGCCTGTGTGTGTTTTCACAAGTGTGTGTGATTGCATGTGTGTGCATGGCTAAGTGTACTTGTATGTGTTTTCATATGTCTGCATGGGTATGTGTGTGTGTGGATGTGTGCTTGTATGTATATTTGAATGGGTAGTGCTTGCATACGCGTGTGTGTGTGTGTATGTGTGTGTGCTTGCAAGTATCTCTACATCTTTGCATGGGTGTATGCTTGATATGTGTTTGCATGACTGTGTATGGACATTCACAATCTATTAATATGATGCCATTTTCAGGGTGCATATCACTCTTGAGACTCATGGCTCTCTGCTTTCCATTATACTGAGACTAGTCCAAAAATCCTCTGAACTAATCCTAATCAACTTGGAAGCCACCACACTCAGGCATGAGGCTGTCAAGTGTGAGTGTTTGCAGATGTCAGTGCAAGGAAGGCAGAAATCCAGGAGGACAGATCAAGGCTTAGTCACTGAAAAATACATGCCAGTGCATCTCAGCTCCAGAGCACCATCAGGGCCCGTAGGAAAAACTTGTCATGACAGCAAATCAATAATCTTTTGGAGATGATTCATTTCTGAAATATCCCTGATTAATTATGCCAGTGCACGCTTGGCAACAGTACTTTGCTCCAGATTAACCTAATGCTTTTTGCATGAAGCAGGATTATAACTGGATCTCATAAGTCAAATTTGACATTTTAAATCAAGCTTTAAAGGTTTGGGTTATAGATTTTATAATGTCTCCATGTCAAACATAATTGCTCTTATTGCTGCTAGTAGACATTTGCCAATCAATCAAAATAACATTTATTTTATCATAAACAAGGGCAAATTAAAACCATTTGAAACCATTGTATTTGAAGACTCAGTGAAGAAGTATCTTAGAATCACCGAAATTTGCTTCTACCCTGTGATAGAGAACTGTGATGACATTATAAAAGGCAATGGAAATGTGTTGCCGTTTTCACTTCAAAAAATTAATGCCTCTGCATACTTTGTGGATATGCAGCTCTAAATTTGGTGACTTATTCCCGTATGAATGTGATATGGGGCAAAAATAGCTTCCTTACTTTCTGCAATAGTTATATTTTTGCCCCATAAAGATAAATGCAGTTTTTAATTTACTTATATATTACATTCAGGAACTTATTTTTTATTCCTCTTAAATTGCAGTGGCTTTTTTCTAATAAAAGCTAATAGAAAAATAAGATTTGCTTAAGGGAAAGTCAGACTAATATGTTTCTTCAATAAAAGTTGAGCATACCATGGTCAATTTGACTTTTTTTCTCCCTATAGTATGCCCACTGCATCAGGGTCACCTTCCCTTAGGCTAATGATAGTATTATGTAGGATATTACTTTTCCATTTATGTAGATATAGCTAGAGAGACATATAAAATCACTGAGTGGCATTATTTAGATATATAGCAGGAACACAAATAAAAAGAGAGGCTAGCTTTTCTGAGACAAGATTGACAATATGCAATAGTATTAGTCAGGAACTTACTTGTCCTAAGGTAGCAAATTGACCCTGAACTCTACATGGATTAACCCTATGAAGTCTATTTCTCATTCATACAAAGTCTGCTTTGTGTCTAGTTCACTCTCAGGGCATCTTCCTTCCAGGTGGTGACTCAGAGATCTAGACTGTTTCTATCTGTAGTTCCATCATCTCAACTCATGACTCTTAGGTCACTGTGGCAGAGAAGAGAGAGAGATAGAGCAAACTCACGGCAACTTCAAATGCATCAGTCTAGAAGTGTTCCCATTACTTCTTTGAATATTAGAACCAATGGTCAGAACTAAACCCCTCTGTAGCCATGCAGAGCTATGAAGATGCAGAGAAATGTGAACAATGCTTTTTGATGGGAAGAAAATGACTGCTCTAACTATATACCAAACATCATGGGATTCTAGTCAGAAATTAACAAAATCATGAAAACTTTAGGGTTTTTAGTGAAACTAATAGTTGTCAGTCCACAGTGATGTAAGACTAGTCTGGAAAAGCAGGTTGAATTCGTAGTAAGGGCCTTTGGAGGCAATGCTAAGAAACTTAGGCTTCACTTGAGGATCATGGAAAAATCTAAGAGAAGGGAACCAAATGATCAAAATTGTGTTTTTTAAGCTATACTCTGACTCTAGAGGATAATACCATACGTAGACAAGTGGATTCTACTGGAAAATAATTTCTGAGAAGCAGGTGAACAGCATAAAAATCCTAGTTTCTTAATTTCAGGGTGCTCTAAACAAGTTTCATTTTTCTGAAGTTGTGACCTAAACTTGTGATTTCCTTATGATCTTTAAGAAAGTACTCCAATGCTTTAAATTTTACTGATGACAGGAACACTCAATTCAATGTCCTTTTTCTCTCATCTCCTATTTCTGCTATATCTCCCATTGCTGTTTCTTCCCTCCATCTTAGGCTTACCCCTCAAAATACCTTCAAAACCCTATCAAAGAGAGTAGGTCATTGAAAAGACAAGGAAGGACTCAAATCTCAGAAATAAAAGGGCTCTCTGTGACAGTAACTTGAGCTGACTCCCACTCTTTCCCCTGTGTTTACATGAGCCCCTCAGTATTCATGGGATTTGTGTTCCAATAAAAGCATAGATTGGTCTGATATTTGAATGTTGATGTCATTCAGTCCTCAGCCCTTGAAATCTTACTAACATGAGTTAGTGAGGCCATGAGAGAAGGTTCCAAGTTCCATCTCTAAGGCACAGGTATGACCTTAGGGATGAAAGTAATCCTTCCCTAACACGATTTTCCACTGGTTGTTCCCCCTTCATGTCTTCCTAGTGTTCCATAGGCAATAGAGCGTAAGTTTAAATGGACTTACTCAAAAGTCAAACTGCCCAAGTCTGAGCACAAATCTACCACATTCCAGTAGGATAAACCTGAGCAATTTTTTAAACTTCTCTGTACCTCATTTTCTATAAAATGAAATTGATGATAACGATAATAAAAATACCTCAAGAAATTATTGTGAAAACTAAATGAGTTTTAATCCATGTAAAGTGCTTAGTGGAGTAAGGAGATCGCACAAACTAAATCTCATCATTGTTGTATGTATCGTACATGCCACTTTTTTTAACTATATGATCTGTGTAACCCTAATGAATTAGGTCTTTTCAAAGGTGAGAGACTTAAAATTTATATTAGCCTAATTGAAACACATTCCCCAAAATAGTAATCCACTCGGGATAGGATTTTTATCTGCTCTGTTCTGGGATATAGTCTAGGTGTCCTATAACTCAGTAAATGTTCTTATTGCTATGTATTCCATATTTATATGCACCAATTAATAATGAAGGAATCATCACAAACACAGAGGAATGAGAAAAGCTACATTTCCATGTCTACCTATTCAGTAGATATTTGCCAAAGTTACAGATGAGTTTTCTTTTTGTTTTTTTCTTTTCCTAATGTTGTTTTCAGATCATGGTGGTGCTTATTAAAATAAAGGAAGAGTGGAGAGGAGGAAATTGTAGGTGAAGAAGCAGAGGTAGATGAGGGGAGAGGCTCAAGAAGAGACCTAGAAGAAAGCCACAGGCAAAATTGAGTCTCTGTCTTGGTGAAAGACAAGAAGGACTGAAACAAGGCCAAAGGGGGAGCAACATGGCAGATAAACCCCTTCTATCCCCACTCCATCTTCCACTCTTCCTCCAGCTTGATCTTTCCACTGTTAATATCCAAATTCATTTCTCTTCCCTTCATATACCTTAAACTTGATGGCAGAAATTTAAGCCCATGAAGAAAGTGGAATTTAGCAAAGTGCACACAGAAGCCCTCCTTAATTTGGCTTCTGCTTGCCTCCCCCATCCAGACCACTTCTCAGAATCTTTCATGTCATGCAAGGGTGGGATCCTCTTGGTGGACTATGTCATGCCCTTACACACTTTTACTTCCTTTTGCCCATATAAACAAACTCCTTGTCACCCCCTAGTCACACATAAAAGCCCAGCTTAGAGGTCTCCTGCTGTGTGAAATCTTTCCTTGACCCACCCAAGCTGAGCAGAGCACTCTGGCCCTTGCACCATCTGAGGTCTGCCTGGAGTTCATCACATTTCGGTCATTCATTTGTCTGAAAGCAGCAATTAGAGGTGCTATCCTTTGAGACATGCAAATGCTAATTGTGAAATGTTCATGGAAGAAGTAAACATTAAGTCATTTGAAAATTGCTGCTACATTTCATGATACCAACGTGGGCCATCTGTGGAATCCATTCACAAAAAGAATTCCTTAACCAGTGGCCCACAGGCTGCTAGGCTGAAGATAAGGAGAAAACACACACCACACTGTAGCCTCCCAAAAATGCCACAGACCCTTGGCACCTCATGGTGCCAATTCTGTCACTAGGAAGACTCAGCAAGAGGCACTAACTGCCCTCAGGTCACATTAAAAATTCTTTCTAAATACAAAAATATCAGCCCCATGAACATGTCACTGTCCTATTATAATTGTTTCTCTGACACATACTTTGCTTGTTTACATAGATATGCATGCTTTTGTTTAATGGGTGACACTATTTTATTTGACCTAATTATTAAAGCCATATCCTAAGAGTTGTTGGAGTTATGTTATAGCTGAATGAATCCCAAATTTAGTACATGGACTATAAAGAGGTTGGAATATGCTGTTGTTCAATACATGTTGGCTCCTTCTGAACCTGTTCTTGACCCTAACTTCATTTTGAACGTAAGGCTGCTTCTGTGTAA